AAAAGGACCCAGAAATTGTCAAACCATGGAACCGGAAAAGTAATCCGAAGTGAGATCGATACCCGAGCGAAGTAATTGAGGCAATCATTGAGAAATCGAAAAGAGGCACCACATCGCGTTCACAATGAATCTGCTACGCCTTCATGACAATGGCCCAGCGGACGCGACATACCTACAAAATATCTTGTGCTCGATCATCGACGATTGATTAGCGGCGTCCAAGACGAACCAATTAGGCGACATGGCAAAGAAACTTCGGAGCTAATTATCGTAGATATTTCTCTTGTTGTTGTCACGCCTTGACTGGTGGACTCGTCACTCATCGGGGGCCCTATCAATTAGTTCGGGAAAGTATTCTCTCGAAGAAACCCAACTTCACGGATGATTCCGCAACTATTGAACTCACGCAAACTGGAGGCAGCTACAATCCAACGATAATATCACCGGCTACCCGAAGCACGATCATACTCAAGCCGTTATTGCGAGACGGCAGATTGCTTTAAAGTTCCGTCTAATTAGTTGGTGTCGCGTCAGGAATGGTACGGAATATTTTCATGAAATCCCGTTGATTCTACTTCCATGAGCCCATAAAAACCAGCAGACGTAAAAAGCACTTTTTGGGTTTCATTTCATTGGTGTTTGGTAGTAACACCCCCATTTCCCAATGATTTAGCTAAAGACCTGAAATCCCGCATTCTCTTTGGCTTGAAAGCCACCATGCGATTATCGCTAACTCGGGCAAAGCTTCCTCGCGACGGGTCGCGGCGCGGTCGAGCCGCCGACCCTAACGCTGCTCCGCCACCGCCAAATACGCCTTGCCGCGCTGTAGCTGTCTGGTTGAGGGCTAGCCTCAGACGTGCCGCCAATCAACATGTCTATCCTCCAATACCCTTTATCAGCTCCAGGCACCTCTGCAGTAGTTATTTCTTGGCAGCCTCGTCAGACAGCATCAGGCTGCGTACTGAGGCCTCTTACACGCGATAATGGAAGCTGAGTTCTACCACACCACATGCACGGCGTGTGGCAGTCTCGCTCCTCGAGCTGTGTCTTAAACTGGCGGTCCCACACTCGCGATGCTCCTCCTGGTTCCCAAAAACACAGAGAGCGGGGCAACCGCCCGTGCCCACAGCCACAGATCGCCGCGCAATTCTCGACTGGCTTGAATCATCCCGTGCCTAATTAAGCCATGACTTTGCTCCGGCTGGCCGAGTACCTCTTCGTATGGCTGCTTATGGATGCCCAGGTCGCGCACGCGAACAACTGCTCCATTGGGCCGTTGGTGTTGCCCATCACGGTAAGCCGCCCTCCTCCGGAGTCCGGAGTCCAGACCAAACTGTGACCTGGTCGGGGTACAACGCCGTCTTGTTGCGCATCAGTCAATCCTAACCACGGGGCAACTAGAATGTCACCTTTCCCGATGGCATTGCCATGAACCGCGGCATCCGGGTCGTTCTCGACGGCGACCAGGTTCAGGGGCTGCGCTTATCGACGATCCTCAACAACACTCGCGTGAGAAACTTTCTTGACTGCCAGTCCACCACCAATACCTCCGGCGCCATTGGCTGCGAAGGCTCGTCGGGGAGTGTGTTTCAGACCACCGGGGGCTCGTTCAAACAGGTCTACAATTCAAAGGACTGGAATGTTTCGTACGTCCAACACATCGCTGCAATCTGTGCTTGATTAGAGGGGCCCGAGTCCTGACAAAGAGCGCCAGAACCATCGACCCGAGACCCAGCGACGGGACTACCGTTCTCCAGGGCTACGTCGGAGCCAACTTCACTGACGGCCCCGCCGCCATCGCCGACTTCCCCCTGGAAGTCTGGGGGAACCACGACGCGCTGAACAAGAGCGCGCTGGCGATTGGCCCCAAGTCATCCGTGCTCGAGCGGCTCGTCAGCGGCGGACTCGCGCCCAGCGGCGCCTTCGGCATCGACTACGGGTCGCGGTCGCAGGCGCACCCGCGCGACGGGCAGCTGGTCGTCGGCGGACACAACGCGGCACGGCACGGCGGCGACGCGTCGACGTCGCACTTCCAGATGTGGAGCGCGTCGGCGCCCATCAACTGCCCGCTGCAGGTGCTGCTGGCGGACGTGGTGCTGAGCAACGCCGCGGGCAACCACTCGCTGTTCGGCGACCCGGACTCGAAGGTGACGGCGTGCATCGACACCATCCAGAACGCCTTCGCCTTCACGCCGGCCATGTTCGCCAAGTGGCAGGGCCTCACGAACTGGGTCGCCAGCCCCGGCGACGGCGGCCCGGACTTCACCCAGCAGACGTACCCGCTCGACCGCGAGCCGCTGATGGGCACGCTGACCATCCGGCTGGCCAACGGCTACACGTCCGTCATCCCGCACTACGAGCTCGTCACCAACGAGCGCGGCAGCGACTCGCAGGGAAAGTACGCTGTGGTCAACGCTTCGCGCGCCATGGCGGCCGTGCAAGCAGGCGACAGCGACCTCGGCCGCGACACCCCCGTCCTCGGCGGCGTGTTCTTGTCACAGAACTACCTGCGCGTGGACTACGCCAACAACTCGTTCTCGCTCAGCCCGCGCGTCGCCTCGCCGCCCGACGACGACATCGTCACCACCTGCACGCCGGACAACACGGGCGGAGCCGGCGCCGACAGTGGCGGTGATGGCGGTGGGCAGTCGTCGTCTATGTTGGGGCTCAAGATCGGGCTGCCGGTTGCGCTGGGCACCGTCGCCATTGGCGTGGCGGCGGCATTGTTGTTCTACCGCGCCTGGTCCAATAAAAATCGAACACGCCAAAACTCGTCCGAAATAGTAAGGCGGACAACATCTCGCCCATGAGTGAGACGGTGGACGCGAGCCTTCAGGGGACAGTGTCGAATGGAGTCTGGCCCTGGGCGGTGATAGTTTTGGGGAGGTTGATTTCTCTTTTTCGTCCGGGAATAATAGGAGACAGACAACGATGCTGGCATAACTCGCAAAATTCTTATGCAGAGGGGGGACATTACTAATTAAGTACGCGATTACATGCCTAGCCTTTTTTATGCATCGGAGGGAAGATATCACGGTGACTGTATGTAGGTGGTTTGCTCGAGTCGGGGCAGGGGTTAATGTGAAGTCTATATAACCTTTAAGATGTAAGCCGGGTGCAACGGGTTTTGGTTGCGTTTGAGGGCGATCTGCCTTGGTAAAACGTGACAACTCGGGCCGGAATTAACTCCGGTCTACCGATGGGTTCTCCACAACCCTGACCACACAATGATACGAGAAATTTTTCTCGTCACTGGTTGGCTGGTTGGCCGTGCTCCTGCACTACATAGTAGATCTGGATTTAAGCAGCCATGATACCCTCCCGCGAGAACTTTCTCACATCAATGGTTGGCCACGGTCGTCGCCATATATCAGAGGAAGTGGCAATTACTAATCATGGCATCCCTCCCCGCCCCCCAGTGCAGCACGCCATTAATCAGCTTTGGCGGTATTTCGCAAATCTCCGCGCCATACAGTCTTCAAAGGTGCTTGATGCCACCAGTGACCACGCTAGTCTGGAAATAAACCAAGACGACCCCCCATCGGAGCCCGGACATAATCGCGTCAATGACGGGCTTGATTCATCCGTTTCCCCACTCGCCCGGCCACTTTTGACCATGGAACCTTGCATCCCCCCGAAATTAGCGGCTGTCGGTGCCCTCGAGCTGCCGAGAAGTCCGGTTTTCCCTCTATATTTATATCACTAGCCATCTGTCCCGAAGAAGGCATCAATCTCGTCAACTGCTCACACGCGCTCTCAATTTCCCAACAACACCACGCCCTCAATTGCCCAACAACACCACGCCAAGTCCCTAACGAACCAATCATGGTCCTCTCATCCCTCTTCGGCGGCGGCCGCCCCGCCTTCACTGCCGCCAAAGACATGCCGTCGCTCGCCGGCAAGGTCGTCCTCGTGACGGGCGGCAACAGCGGCCTAGGCAAGCAGTCAGTGCTCGACCTCGCGCGGTACGGCAAGCCCGCCGTCATCTGGCTGGCGGCGCGCAAGCTGGAGCGCGGCCAGCAGGCCGCCGACGACATCGCCGCCCAGCTCCCCGCCAGCTCCACCCCCGCAGCCACAACCATCAAGCCGCTCGACCTCGACCTGGCGTCGTTCGCCTCGGTCCGCGCCGCCGCCAAGCGCGTCGTGGCCGAGTCCGCCCGCCTCGACATCCTGCTGCTCAACGCCGGCATCATGGCCACGGCCGCCGCGCTCACCGCCGACGGCTACGAGGAACAGTTCGGCACCAACCACATGGGCCACGCACTCCTAACCAAGCTGCTGACACCGCTCCTGCTGCAAACCGCCGCGGCCACACCCAACCCGGACGTGCGCGTCGTAGTGCTCACGTCCGACGGCCACGCCCTGGCCCCCCCGCCGGGCATCCTGTTCGACAGCCTCAAGAGCACGCAGGCGGCCGAGCTGAGCACGGTCGCGCGCTACGGCCAGAGCAAGCTGGCCAACATCCTGTTCGCGCGCGAGCTGGCGCGCCGCTACGAAGGCCGGCTGCGCGCCGTCGCCGTGCACCCGGGCGTGGTGAGCACCAACCTCGCGAACAATTTTGGTGCGCGCTACCTCGCCATCCGCCTGCTCGTCCTCCCTGTCGTGAATGCGCTGTTGACCGTGTCGGTCGAGACCGGCGCCAGGGGCCAGCTGTGGGCGGCGACGGCCCCGGCTGCGGATGTCGAGAGCGGGCTGTACTATGTCCCCGTCGGCAAGAAGGGCGGCAAGAAACATCCGCGCGCGGACGATGATGAGCTGGCGGCGAGGCTGTGGGAGTGGACGGAGAAGGAGCTGGAGGGGCAGGAGATTTGAGGCTTGGTTCTGCTGGTTTTTGCTGTGTTGTTTGTTCCGAGATACCCTTCCATAATCACCTCTCGTTCTTCTCGTTTACGGCGGGCTTGCGTGTGTCTGGCTCGTTAATTTTCTTTGTTTCTTTCCGAAAGCAGTTGCCATAAAAACTCGGAATATATAGTGCCTACGTTCAAGAAAGTACATCCAAATCCCTCGTGGTGCAATTGGTTAGCGCGTCAGACTATTAATTTCGAGGCTATTGGTTCGACCCCAACCCCCAGAAACAACGTATTCCAGAATGTAGCCAAATGAGGCCAAAATGAGTGCCTTCAACCGTGATGTATTGATTGATGTGTAGGAAGAAGAAAAGGCCTGCGCCTGCAGGTCGGGGACGTGTGTTGACCCCGTGGAAAAGGTGTTTAATTACAGTGGCCTGTGCAGGCCCTGCCCTGCACCATACCGGATTTAGGTAGGTCTTTCTGACACACCCCCTCAGTTGAAGCCATTTCCGGATTCGACTGCCAAAGTAAACAAAGACCCAAAATGAGGGTGTTCCCAAGCTGCCGGTAAGTCCTGTAGCCAACTGAGGTCCGTTCCTTTTCTGCGCCTGTGTTCTTTCTTCCTTTTCATGCCTGGTTTCCAGGCCTGGTTTTCCATGCCTGTATTCCTCACTTACGCAGTATATGCGGTGAGCTAAAGTGGTGTGCTTCTAATGCGGTGAGCTTCTAACGCCCTGTGCGTGTTGGTGATGATTTCCTTGGTGTTGTTGATGTAGACCTTCATGGTCTGGCCACCCTGTGGCTCTGTAGCTCCCTGAGTGGCTCCTGCCTTTGGCCTTTCCGGCTCAGGGGCGTGTTCTTCCAAGTGACCGGGCCCTGAGTGGCTCATGCCGTTCCTGCTGTGGACTTCATGCCGTCAGTCTTCCTGCTGTGGACTTCATGCCGCTAGTGGATGACTGGTATGCCTACAGGCCGGGCGCCTATCCCCTGAGATCAGGGGTATGATGTCAGTGAGGTCGTAGACAACAGGGTCGCTGGCCTCCCGTGTTGTCAGCGGGCCAACCGCGTGCCAACTGCGTGCCGGCGGCGTATGTGCTTGACGGCGTGCCCGGGGCCGTGCCTGCCGGGCCTTTATGCCTGTCGGGCCTTTATGCCTGTACGTAGGCCAACTGCGTGCCAGCAATGGTTCCTGTCGGTCTGCCAGGACTGCCAACGACTGTCAGAACTGCCTTAACAGGTGGTTCAGTCCTTCGAGGGCCCTGCAGCCCTGTAGGGCATGCCTAGGTAGGTCGGTTCTCAGCTGCCGAGAAAATGCGATTGAGCGTGTTTTCGTCTTTAGGCTCGATCCGTGAGCGCTGCAGCTGGCCAGAAATGCTTCCAGCTGTTGCCGGGCCGTTCAGGTCCTCAGATATGCCCAGGCGCCGCCAAATTGGTAGGTCGCCCACCCCCTGAGTTCAAGGGTCTAGCAGGCCAACTGCGTGCCGGCTGCGTGCCGGCTGCGTATGCGCCTGACGGCATGCCCGGGGCCGTGCCTGGCGGGTCCTTCACTTGATGCTTGTTAGTCACGGCGCCCTGCAGGCTCTACCGTGTTACCTGCCACTTGTTGTTGTTGTTGTTGTTGCCTGCCCGTGATGTTTAGGGCGGTATGACCGCGTGCCCGCTGCGCGCCCTCATTGTTTACTCGCCGCGGGGCTTCCTTCCCCGGATCCGTATGCAATCCTCTGTATGAGTATGAGGCTGGCCGCCGGGGACCATTCCTCGGTTCGGCATACAGTTTCCTGCCTGCATGCTGACCGCGTGCGGTATACAGCTCTCCCTGCCTTTGATGCTGGCCGCGTACGGTATGTAGTTGTGTATGAAGCTAGCCGCCGGGACCATTCCTCGGTACGGCATTCGGCTGTGCGTGAAGCTGGCCGCGTACGGCATCTAGCTGTTGTGAAGCCTGCCGCCGGTAGCATTCCTCGGTTCGGCATTTGGCTGTGCGAGGCTTAAATTTCATACAACTCCGCGAGATGCCACGATTTCCCATTACCTGCATTGTCTGCTCCCAACAGATCCTCTCAATTGGCGATCTTCAGCCGCATTATATGTTACACCAAGTAAGAACGTCTTTAGGCCAAACCAGGCACCTCTAACGCGACACAGTCCCGAGTCACGGCGCTCTTCCTGCAGGGAATCGACAAAGATAGCTCACTTCGACAGGAGACCAACAAAGATACGCAGGACCCTCCTAGCACGTGGTCCATGGCCGGGGGATGAGCCTCACGTATCTTGACTTGTCCTTGTCTTAACGTAAAAGCGAGGTCAGAACTAGGGTGAGGTCAATCAATGGCCAGGCACCTGCATGCGACACGGCGGCCGAATGGCTCACGAAATACCCGCTTATCCCTGCTAGCTGTGGTCTCTTGTCGCGGCTGGCTAGGAAAACATGGCGGAAGTTCACTCGCCTTCCCTTCGTGGATCTTTGGATTTGCCAAGGTGAGTTATTATACAAGAGGAATATAGATGACAGATGTTAACCTCGGACCATGAGGTTGTAATGTCTGTCCCCAACCTGGCCATGGCCTGTGATCAGATGTAAATCAAGTGGCCCGCGGTATCGAGAACCATTCCAAATTTGCAGGTAATCCCGCGGGCTTCCAGAAGCTCTTTGGACAACCGCATTTCATCTTCTTCCATCTTTTCGAACATCGGCAAAAACGAGAGGTCGAACTGCAAATCCGCGATATCTGACTGCAAATCCACGAGATCTGACTGCAAATCCGCGAGATCCAAGTAGAACTCTCGCAGGTTCGGAGCGTGCGCCAAAACGGTACTCGCTGCCTCGGCGGAGCGAAATTGCGCGTCCGGCCAAGGAGAATCTTCTTTGTACATGTATTTCAGACGCTGTAGGTTCGGGCATAACTGAAGAAATTTGGCAAGGGCGTCGCCTTCAATGCACGACTGCAGGTCGAGGTTCGCCACGTGCTCGAGTCTCAAGTCCTCTGGAAGAGAGAAGCAACCGATGTCGACGAAGCGAAGGAACCGGAGGTTAGGCGCGGCACGGAGGAGGGGGAGGAAAGACTCCACATCGTCCCAGTCGTTGGTAGAATGCGCAGAAAAACTCGCAACGACCCCCGTCAGAGACAGCATGGACGCCGCCGAGCAGAAGCCACATGGGGTACAGGAGCCATAAGAAGCAAGATCGAGGGTTGACAGGTTGGGACAGAGGCTGATTATGGTAGCGAGGATGGCGTTCCCCCCTGAGCCATTCCGATCGGTCAAACTGAGGGCGTCTGGGGGCAGACAACAGTCTGGATTCAGAGCGACTTGTTTGGTATAATAAGACAGGACCTCTGGATAGAAGAGGGCGGGGTCCTCGGGAATATCCGATTTGAGATCAACCAGAGCGAGGTGCCTGACGAGTCCGCCGAGATCCCTTCGCGTAACGAGGGTCCGCACAATTAGGAACCATTTTGATTTGGTCCTAGAATGCATGAGGCTGTGGTAGAGGCGCCACGTTGTGTACTCGTTGAATAGTTTTGACACGCGGCAAAGGCGAGCGAGCGAGGCTAAGTTGGACAGTTGAAAGTTACCGCCCTGCCTCCAGGGGAATATAAATTCCGGGATATATTCTTGGAGGTGGCGGACATGATGGGTGCACAGCTCGTCAAGAATATTCTCAACGACTTCTGCAGGAACCTTGGAGAGGGTTCCTAGTCCGCTCATGATTGCAAACCCTCGTGAAAACCGGCAATGGAGAGATTCGGCGAACCTTTCGTTGATCGAGGGCTCTGAGAGTATTGACAAACAAAGGGTTATGCCTGGTCGGGCATTGTCAAAAGAACAGAATTCCCGAGTATCTTCCAGTTTTGAAGCTCATTTTAATTTTTGCCCATCAAAAAGCGGTGTTTGCTGGCGGACAACCCCAAAAAGTCTGGCGCCACTTACTAAAATCAGCACCAGCGTCATGGCCGACGTAGGTGACCCTTTACCTTCCAATGTCAATTTCTTCACCGTCATTTCTTTTTTTTTTCCACCAAACCAAGTGGAAAATGGTCGGCATTTCGAAGACGTTTAACTGCGATCTTTCAGAAGCAAAAAGGGCCCAGATTTGGGCGTTGCACCTCTTTGGAGCTACCGGGGGTACCATCGCGGCGCAAGTGGGGGTCGGAAGGTCTACTGTCAACAAGACCGTCAAGAAGGTTGCCGAAAACCTGGCCAATGGCCTCGAAAATCCATTCATTTCAAAGCCCAGAGCCGGAAGGCCAAGCAACCTTGACAGCCCTAGCAACGCCCTCGAAAAGCGGCTACCAACTTAACCGCAAGACGGTTCGGAGACTGCTCAAACTATACAACAAAGCCCGCAAGAAGCCCTGGATCTCTCCCAAAAACAAAAAGAAGCGCGTAGACTTCCGCCGGCGTAACAAGTACACTCCCTGGACTCTGATCTGCTGGTCAGACGAGGCATACTTCGGAGTGGGCGAAGACGGCCGCACAATCTATGTCACTCGGTCCCCGGCCGAGGAATACCACCCAGACTGCTTACAGCCTACCCTCAAAAGCGGCCGCACGAAAATGGGTGTGTGGGGATGCTTTATGGGCCCGGAAAAAGGGCCCATTTTTGTCCTAACAGGTCTTTAGTCCTCATTTCCTTCCTTTCTACAACAAAATGAAGGAAAAATACGGCCAGGGAGTACAGCTACAGGAAGACGGAGCTTCCTATCACCACAACGGCTTCCTGGGTCTCCTGAAGAAGGCTTCGACGTCAGGGCCCTGGAATGGCCACCACAAAGCCGGGATCTTTTCCCCATTGAGAATCTATGGCACTGGATGAAGCTCACAATAGGGGCACGCAGGCACAAGATTAAAAACGTCACCCAAATGGCGCAGGCCATTCATTGAAGTTTGGGAGGAAATTACGCCCGAAGTCATGATGAAGCTGGTCAATTCTACGCAGAAAAGAATGAACATGCTCAGGGATTCGAAGGGCGGGCCGATCAAGTATTAGAAAGGGATCATTTGGTGTAATTCGCGTTCATTTTGGCCTAGAAATGAGTAAGTTGTGTGGTTTGAACAAAAGGATGATGTTTTTGCGGGGGGCGCCAGAATTTTTGGCCTCCATTGAACAAAAGAGGATTTTGAGCACATATTTCAGAAGCTAGCCCGTGGTCTTGAAATTTGTCTCACTAGTCTACGGAGCACAGAAGCATGCCGCGGATCTGCACCTGAATTATGGAGTCGTACGGAACCGTAAGTGATCATGACATTTCAAGGGTTAGGGTTGAAGAATTGAAGATAACGG